GCTCCCCAGGGCACGGCTTTGGAGGAACCTCTGTGACTCTCTGCTGTGATGCCCTTGGCATCTCAGTTCCCAAGTCCCCATATCCCTTCCCTGACCCAGTGCCCCCTTCCCCTCTCGTTTGGTGGAGCTCAGGCTGGGCCTGCTTCTCACCCCTGGGCTAAGGGGATGGCAGTCCCATGGGCAGGATCCTCTGCTCCCCTGTGTGCTGCTTCCCATCCCGCAGCGACCAGGGAAAACAGCAGGGCTCTCCCCATGGGCTTGGAGCTCCTCATCCCCTCCCTCTCTGCTTGCCACCTTGAGCTGCTGGGTGCTCTTCTCCGTCCATCCCCGTTCCCTAAGTGAGGCTCCCGTTTGGCAGCTGTGGTAGTGCTGGGGGCAAGGGCATCCCCAGGGCTCGCCGCTTTCTGAATTGAATTATTTTTTCAAGAATAAACATTGCACAGCTGTTGAGCTGGGTGTGTTTCATATCTGGTTTCGTGTACCTTGGGTTCAAATCCCCAGCCCTGGCCAGTCTGCCTGGAAAGGACAGATCCACGTCCTCTGTGCCACCTACAGGACTCTGTGACAGCCAGGAGCCTGCACTTGGAGCTGTTGGTCCAGATATCCTGCTTTGGGTATGTATTTCCTAAGGAACAGCCCTTAAGGGCTCTATGCCTTCTGGTATGTCCTGGGAGAGCTGGCACAGAGCCTGGTTACCTTCTGCATGGTGTGCTGAACCCTGAACCATAGCAAGGAAAGGTTTGTAGAAAGGAAAGGGATGTAGGTTTGGCATAGAGGAGGCTGTCCGGTTGGGTTTTTTTTTCCCTCTTCTGCCCATAGCATGCATGGTGATGTCCTGGGAGCAATCCAGTGTGAGATCTCTGACTGAGCATCGCTGGAGCTGTTGCAGCTCTGGTGCCAGCAGAGGTCCTCCAAGCCCTGCCTGCTGCCAGGGTGGCTGCTGCAGGTTTGCCGCTTCCTCCTCAAGCTTTTTTTTATTATCCGCAGTTCAGTAACCGACGGAAACTCTGCCTATGGGCTCTCGTGTATAATGAGCCACTGCGCTGCCCACTACCGCCCTCATCCTCTGCTTTTCCCCTCGGTTCGCAGCTCTGTGTCCCTGGGTCTCAGTTCTTTCTGCCTGCTCCCGTTGGATTTGGGCTTCTTTCCTCTTGGTGAAATAGGCTACAAGGGATTTTTTTTTTTTTTTCTTCCATGCCCAACTTCTGCCCAAGGTCACAGCACAAGGAAGTGGCAGCAGGAGGGGACATGAGGCCAGCCTCAGCCTGGGCTGTTAAACCCAAGTGTGTTCGTGAGGACAAAATAAAAAGGAGGTGCTTGGAGCCCTCTCCCAGCAGTGCAACCCATAGAGTAGGGGTCTGGCAAGGGCTGGGGTGGGACCTGCGCTCTGAGAAGAGCAGGGCACAAAAGTGGCTGTTGTCAGCAGGACCCCAATGAAACTGGGATGTGGAGGTAGCAGCCATCAGTCCCAACCAGCCCAGACCCACTCCACAGGGTGAGGCCCAGCCTACTCCCATTGCCTCCCAGGGTGTAGGCGCAGCTAGATGCTAAAGGCTTTTCCCCAGCTGCGTGGCAGTGCTGGGACAGAGAAGAGCCATCACCTCTCCATTGCATCCACCTCCTCCACATACCAATCCTTGCAGTGCTGGGACTCTACCAGCTCAGTGCTGTGGAAGCAGCAGAGCCCCATGGGGTTATAGGGTACCAGCTCCCAGCCCCTTGGGAAGGTAGGCTGGTGGGGGTGAGACCTCCCCCTCCCTTCCACACACATCAAAACCCAAGGGGCTATTAGTTTCCTCAGAGCTCCGTTTACAGGAGTGAGGCAGGGATGTACCAGCTCCTGTATCCCGACCCCCCCTCGGCCCTGGTGTCATCCAAATCCTGGTTCCCAGGTCTGAGCCCCACAGCCCCCCCGCAGCCCGGCCCCACTGCCTTTGTGCAGCCTTACAAAGGAGAACCTGTCCAGGCTGCTCCATGTCCCAGGAGCTGGCTGATAATTAAACAAAAGCAAAATAGCCTTGGCATGAAATCTGACCTTTCCAGAACTTGGGGGTGGGAGGGAAAGAGTAATTTTGCATAATTTCTGGTGGCTTTTTTTCTTGCATCATGTTTGTTCTGTAGGCATCTCAGTACCCACAGGTGCTGGAGGAGCATGAAGTGCCATCAGTGCAATGGTGATTAATATGGCTCCATGGATGGAGGGAGGTGTCCTCAAGGCAAAGACAGGAGGGTGGGATGATGTCCTGATCCTCATAGGTAAAGACTTCTCCATGCTATAGGGGTGCCAGCGCCTGGGACACGCTGGCCCTGTCCCTGTTCTTGCAAGAGAGGCATTGAAACCAAGTTTATCCCAACTTGGAGAGCAGATTTCCTATTTTTACACCCTCTGCTTTACAGAGAGCCCTGGCACCAAGGTGTTGAGGGATGGCAAGGTGCCTGAACTGCCCCCAAGAAAAGACTTTTTCCGTTGGTCCCAGTGGCAGTGGACTGTCCCCAAGCGCCCAGCATGGTTGTGCCCCTCCCATGGGCCACCTCCCATCCATATACAACAAAGCCTGGCAGCAAATTAATCTTCAACTGGGCATCAAGGATTGTTACTGGAACTTTATTATGCTGCGTCCTGCCCAGCACAGCGTTAACGATTAACCCAGCAGCCCTGCTATCAGCTCTAGCACCCTGCATTTCTGCTATCCCTGACAGCATCTTATCTGATAGCCCTGCCATAAATCTGGGCATGGAGCTGCCTGGAAACACCCCCACCTGCAGCAGCCCCAGGGGGTTATCATGGGGTGAGAAGGAGGAAGAAGGAGCAGGTGAAGGTGGCAACACCTCACTTCTCCCATGCCCTTCGAGGGTGTCCTCTGCTCTCCAATAGGAACATTAGGAGGGGATGTCTTCACAGCTGGCACTTCTGGGACAGGCAGTGTGGATGAGTTTGCTTTGTTTTTCATTTGCATCCTTTATGGGCACAATGTGTAACAGCTGCAATTCTTCCTCCTCCTGACAATTGTCACTGGCCCCCACCAAAGGTAACTAAAAAGAATCGGTAAGCTCATTTCCTCCAGAGCCAAGCCCTGCCTGCCATCCTGCCCCAGTGCACATGATGTTGGTAGCAAACGCATGCAGGGTTTCTGGCTGGTGTGTGGCACCTATCTCATCAGGTGCACCAGCCCCACTCTGGGGCTCCCAGGTGTGAAAGCAGTTCTGCCCCTGTCCCAGTAGATTCTGTCTTGCTTTTCACCTGCTCATAAAGCAGGTACCAGGGGCAAAGAGAGCATCAGAGGATGGTCTCTATTGCTTGAGAGCTTGGGGGGTGGCAGCAGATGGGAGAAGGCAGCAGCAAACACAACTGGTTTGGGTTGGATATTAGGAAAAAAATTCTATTCAGAAAGAATTGTGATGCACGAGCTGCCCAGAGAGGTGGTGGGGTCATCATCCTTGGTGTTCAGGAACCACAGGTGGAGCTGTGACGCTGAGGGATGTGGTCAGTGGGCATGGTGAGGTGGGGTGAGGCTGGCCTGGGTGATCTGACAGGCCTTTTCCAATCTTAATGATTCTATGATTTCTTTGCAAAAAGCAAACCCTGCTCATGTCCCCACCACCAGCTCACTGGTCAGAGCAAAGCCAAGTGGCCAGAGGGGCTGGAAGATACGTGGCTGGTGGATATGAGACTGGAAGTTGCTGTACCCCATGGTTCAGCCCTGTGCAAGGCAACGCTACTGGCAGCACTCACACCCAGATGCACACACATCCCATCAGCTGTTCGGAACGCAAGGCCAAGAACATCACCATGGACAATAAGGAAGATTCTGCTGTTGTCACATGCACCCAAGGTGTTTGGCCTTACCTGCTGATGTCACAGCACTAGCGGGCGCTGGCACAGCTGCCCACGGAGGTGGGGGAATTCCCATTCCTGGAAGTGTTTGAGAACCGTGGGGATGTGGCACTGGGGGACAATTGCAGTGGGCGCAGTAGGGTGGGTTGGAATTGGACTGTGTGATCTTCATGGTCTTTTCCAACCTCAATGATTATGGGATTCTATGAAAACGTGATTCTATGAAAACACCTTACACAGGGCCAGGGCTTCCAACCCATAGGGATGGAGTCCTCCTTCCACCAGGGACACTCACCCCTGTGGCAGGTTCACACCTTCTGCTCCATGGCTGCCCCACAGACGTGGGAGGAGCTGAGCCCCGAAGAGTGAAGGGAGGAACTGGTCTCCTCCTTGCCTCCATCCGCATCCGGAAGGAGAGACTGGTCTTTCAAGTTCCTGCGGGCAGAGGGGATCACACAGTGCCACAGAAACTGCATGGCCCGCAGAAACCTCCTGCACCAGCATGGGGACGGGCAACACCTACCTGCACCTCCAGGAAGGGTTGGGGCAGTGCCAGCACTTCCATTGCTCGGCATGGGACACTATGAACAAAAAGCGCTGACGTCAGCCCCGAGGTCACGGGTTGTGGTGAAACTGGGACCGGTACCATTGCTGAGAAAGAGGAGGAAGAGTGGCAGCCCTTCCCATGGGGCACGGCCCCAGGCTGAGTCACCCAGGGTGGGAGTAGGTCCTGCACCTGTCCCACAACCGGCCCTGCTGCGAGGACAGGGCCGGCAGAATGCAGCATTAAAACTTCATGGGATGGCAGTTGAAAATGGGTTGAAATCCCAATAGGGGGGCATTTGCAAGAGGACAGGCTGCTTCTGCTTCAGGAATGCCAGACACCCCCCCCCATCCCACTGGGCTCAGCTCCCAGGAGCAGGGTTGTACCAAGGCTGTTTGCAGGGGGGACTGGGTTACACAGACACCAGGAAAAATCCCCTGCAGCTCCAGTCCTGCTTAGAACACAGAAGGACTCTGGCAGAGGGCAAGCGAGCTGCACAGCTCCCAACCATAACTGTTGTGCAAACACAGCCCTGTTAGGTTTCAGCACTGAGAAGGCAGAGCAGGTACAGGTAGAAGGAAGCTGCAGGAACAGGAGTTTATTGAACACAGCAGAAATTGATTTATATCCAAGATGATTTTTATTATCATTTCTTCTTTTCCTTTACAGCACAAATTCACGCTGAAATCACAGCAGGGTGCAGGAGCAGAGCTACGCTTCATGTCAGGGCAGGGGCAGCACAGAGCAGGGTTCCGGCCAGCAGCGTGCAGGTGTCAGCCCCTGGGCAAGCACCAGCCCCATGCACAGGGCTGGGGACAGGGAGGTGCCAGCATGGCAGAAGCACCACGGCCACCTGCCCACAAAGGTTGGGCAGGGCCAGGCCAGCGCCTGTTTCACAGCCCTGAGCTCAGCCTGTGCCCTACCTCCTGCTGGCCTCAGCAGATCAGATCCAGCGCTCCTCCCTCCAAAACAACAAAAATCTCTATGTACAGATGAGTATCAGTACAAAAATATACAATGTATAAACTCTACAGATCCCAGCTCAGTAGATCAAACCACAGCTATAAATCACAGTGCATGGGACAGCATCAGGCCCGGGGAGCAGCGGGGCCCTCAGGAGCACCCCAACACAGGGCAGGGGAGGGTATGGCTTCTTGCTGCTTCGCAGGGTCACTTCTTGTCCAGGTAGCAGTACAGGTACATAGAGACCACCATGGCTGCAAGCTGGGAGGAAAAAGGAGAGTCAGAATCCCAGCTGTGCCTCCAGCATGGGGACACAAGCCCACAGCACCCAGTCGAAGCACCCATGAGGAGGAAGAGGCAGGTGTGCAGAGGGAGGAAGGCTCAGTAGCCACCCTAGGGCAGACGGTGGCCCACGGGGCTGCACCAGCCCCCAAGGAATAAGGAGGGAGCAGTATGGCAAGGCCTGGGGACTCACCTCCAGGGCAGCAATGCCAGCAGCCACACCACCCACCACGTCTGCGTTTGTCCTGATTTCTTCTAGGATCTGATGAAAACAACCCTGAGGAAGGCAACCAAGTGGTGAGCGTGAGCAAGTGGCTGCGATCCCCCAGCCACAGAGACCCACTGTCCCAGGGAGATACAGCAGGTTCCCAAGCCCAGAACTTCATGACCATGGAGATGGCCTGGAGGTTCCAGAGGACAATTCATCTCATCCCCCTGGGATGAGGAAATTGGGGGATTTAGAACCAGGCAATGAGAGCAGCATGTTCATCTCCACTGCGAACAGGCCAAAGCCACCACATCCCCGAGGGACCCAACACAAAAAAGACAGGACTCAGGCTGGAGGTGAAGGATGGATTCCTCCCCCCATACCCCCCCCAGACTGGATGCTGCTGGAAGGTCAGAGCTGCTCATGGGTTCATACCGTGACGTTGGCTTGTGCTGCCTCTGCAGCGGTGCACGGCGACGCAGACTTGCAGCAGGGACTTGGGAAGGTGTAGCTGTTCTGTAAATACCATGGGGAGTTCTCAAAGTCTGTGTAGTTATTTAGGCCACAGCAGTGGACCTAAAAGGGAGAAAGAGAGAGAGGGATGCTGAGAGTTTCCAACAAGTCTCTGTGCTCATGCTCCCACCAGATGCTCCTCCTAGGCCCTCTTTGCCCCATGGAGGAGATCACCCCCCTCAGCCCAGCTCACTGGGAGTTCAAGGAGCAACACACCACATTCTGGAACAGCTCTTGCCCCAGCCGTGGGACCTCTGGACCCCAAGCAGGGTCAGAGCAGAACCCCATCTCTACCCCATAAGCCCATCTGGGACACCACCAGGCCTGCGCTGGAAGCATCATGGCCCCGACCCAGGGGTGCAGGCTCCTGGGCTCGGCGCACCTCATTCATGGTGACGTTCCAGATCTGTGTGAGAGCATCATCCTTCCCATACTTCTCCTTCAGGACAGGAGTCACCAATCCTGACAGGAGCGTCTCTGCCTGCAGGAAGAGGCACAGAAACACCATCAAAGAAGATCCCGGTGAGCTCCATGAAGCCAAGAGCCGCCCATGCCCCTACTGGTTTCAGCCCGTAGGGACGAGGCCAATCGGACCCAGAGCACATCACACCGCATCAGCCCGACGGCAGCTGGACAACCTCCCTAACCGCACGTTTTGGCAGCTAGGCCACGCACGGTGAGTCACACAACCCAGGGAGCCAGGAATGACGTTTGCCCTGCGGTTGACTTCTCCTGTGTCTAATGAAGCAGAGCACATGGGTTGGCAGTAGTCACTTTTCTCCCCAGGTGGATTTTCCAGTGCATAATAAGGGGTTGGTTTGCTTAGCACGAAGCATTAGGGACTTCTCCTGTGTGACTCCTACCATGAGATATCCAGCCTTGGCTGATGTTAGACTGAGGTGTTTGAAAGAAAGAAATGGGTAAAACTCATACGATAGCCCCTGTTTCTTTAGGGCAAAGGGAAACCCCACTCCCTGCTCCTTGGACGGCCCCTCCACATGGCCAGGCCATCCCCACTTGTCCACATAGGCAGGTGGCTGACGTCCCTCTTGTTTTCCCAAAGCAGCCCAGCCCAAGAATGAGGTATGCCACTCACAACACTTGTGTAGACAAGAACCACCACAGCAGCAGCAATTTCAGCAATGAAGATGATCAGTACCACTGAGAAAAACTAGGAGACAGCAAAGGGAAGGAGGTCAGAACAACAGGTGCCCCTCCCAGAAACCCACTCATTTCCTAGTGACCAATACCACCCTTTCCAGGGCAGAGTTCGAGCTCAGCATTGTCTTTGCAAGGCTCACCCAACTCTCCATAATATGGGAACACCCCAGGAGGGCATTACCATGGAGAAGTCTATCTCCCACACTTCCCACACCAGCAACCCACATCCAACAAGGATTGGTGAAGCATAACTAAGCACTGACAGATCCTTACCATCATCAGAAGACATTTGCTCTCCTTCTGGGCACTGCAGCACCCAAGGAAGCCGATCACCACCAAGATGCACCCAATGACGATGAGGAAGTAGCTCACATTCACAACCTGCATGACGCTAGATGAAAGCGACCCAAATATATCCAAGAAGGACTTGCCATCCACTGTGACCCAGATACCAATGCCCAGGAGGGTCCCACCACCGAGCTGGGGAGAAGAGAGAGGTGTCAGCTTCTGAGCTTGAGGAGTTGGGGGGGGTTCTTGATGAGAGGAACTGCCTTGTTGCTCCATGTTATTTTGAGGAACTTCAAGCAGTTGATCTGCATCAACCAGGTGTGTTTCGCACACCTCAGCAGCTCCCATTCTAACTCACATTCCTCACAGGGGCTGCTTCCATCCCATCCCATCTCCCCCCACCAGGCTCATCCTCCTCACCAGACCCACAGAGCCCTCCATCACCTGAGCCGCAATCACTGCTGCCCTACACAGAGCCCAGCAGGTGGGACCCAACAACACTGGGGCTCCTGGGCACCCCACCAGAGCTCAGCACACGGACAGACTCAAACTCAGGTTGGCTGATGCAACAAACACTGTCCCCAAAGCCCTGCACTGTCCTCTGCTTTCCCTCACCGAGATTTAGACAGACCATGGGAGCAGGAGACCCCACAATATTAGGGCACACATGGAATCACTAAGGCTGGAAAAGACAACTACAATCATCCAGTCACACAGTATCCCCATCCCAGCTGCATGGGCCCAGGTCGCTCTGGAAAGAGACAGCCACCAGAGCACTTACAAATATGATCAGGTTGAAAAGGATCATCATGACCTTGATGAACGTGAAGCACCCCATGTTTGCACCTGGAGAGAGCAGATGGACGTTACCAGTGGGATCCCACACCCAGCACCAACCTCCCTCCTTGGGGTTTAGGGCACAGAGAACCCCACCGAGCCCCCTCCCAGCCCTACCAGAGCCCATCCCCACAGCGGCTCCCCCCCCCACAACGCCCTCCCCCTCCTACCTGAGCAGCGAACAGCCCCAGCAATCTCTGCCGCCCCACGCCGCCCCGCCGCCCTTTAAGCGGGGGACGCCCGAGCAGCGCCCGCCTCCTCCGATAGAGCTCCCCCCACCACCATAGGGCCACCCCCTGGGGCTGGCAAAGCCACGAGGGCCCTCGACGAGGTGCTCGGTGCCTTGCTGCCCTCTGCTGCCCGAGCCACCCTGCCCGCCTGCTGCCTGCGTCCATCACCGCCTCCTCTGGGAGCTGGGTTGGGTTTGGGGGGCAGTTGGAGCCATCGCTAAGTGCTGCTCGGGGAGCAGAATTTTGCTGGTACACAAATAATTGTGGCAATTTCATAAATATTTGCAATGAAGGAGTTCCATTCACAGCCCCGGGGAAAATCCCGGGACGTGCTGCTGTGGCTGCTTCCCACCCCCACCTGCCCACACACCTGGAGATGCGTGCTCCCCACTGTCCTATTAGGAATCAGGGCTGGATTTTCTGGCTCTCCTGGCCTACCCACAGTAGGACAAGCCCGGTGGCATTCCCATGTCCATCCCAACCGGTGAGGCTTGCTTTGATTAATGTCCATGGGGACACTGACTGAGCTGTGCCTCAGTTTCCCTCCCTGGGAAGCACAGGGTAACAAACCCCATGTGGGGCCATGGAGAGCAGGGCATGCAGCCTGGGCTTGGTGGGATTTTGGGGTGGCCCCAGCTCAGTGAGCATCAGTTTGCGGCTGGGAACATCTGCCCATCTGTCCCAGTACCTGGGGTGCTGGAAGGACAGGGATCAGGAGTGGCACCAGCTGGTGTACAGTGGCAATCAAACCCTATTTCTCAATTTCTCCAGCTGGGAACACTCAGCTCCATGTTTGCAGCCTCACTCACCCCACCAAATTAGAATCCATGCATTTATGCTCCATTTAGCTACAGCCATGTCTGGGATCACACCAGGGTTTCCCAAAGCGAAGTGGGGAACAGGGAGAGCTGAGTTGGTCGCCTTGAGGGCATCCCCTGGAGATGCTCACACCAAGGGCTGCCCTTCGGCTGCACTAATTCCTGTCCTGTAGGTATAGCTCCAGGGAAGAAAGTGCAGAAATAGATGGGATGTGTCCTCCTGGCAGCCAAATATTTGGATATCTCAGCCATACCCAAATGAAACAGCTCTGCTGAGGTTCCCAGGCACACAGAGCTGAGATCTGGTGCTTTCATTGCACGTAGCTGCAGTACCCTGGATACAGGCTGCTGGTGGGCACAGCCCTGCATGACTGAGCCAGGAGCTTTGCTGTTCCAGCCCCCTCCATTAAGTTCTGCCCTATTAAATCTTAATCACTGCCTCGTTCATTTTTAAGGAGCCTCTCTGCATGCAGGAGTGCTGCCTTGTGTTGTTTCATGGGGTGCCTGACCCTTACCCTGGACTGGGAAACATTTCTGGGTAAATGAGAGAGAGGAAGCAGAGCATCCCTGGGCTGTGGTTCTCTGTGGCAGCTCCCCATGGCCCCTGCATGGCTGAGAGATGACCACCCAAAGGATGGGGTCCAAAGGGTGGAGTCCGAAGGATGAGTGCCACGGGAATGCATGTCCAAAGGGGTGGGTGTCCAAAGGGGTGGGTTCCCAAAGGGTGGGTGCTCAAAGGGTAGGTGTCCAAGGAATAGGTGTCCAAGGGATGAATATCCAACCATAGGTGACCAATGTTGGGTGCTCGAAGGAGTTGCCCAAAAGATGGATGTCCAAGGGATGGATGTCCATGGGGAGGATGTCTGAAGGTGCCCAAGGGGTGGGTGCCACAGCGTGGGTACCCAAGGGATGAGCGTTCAAGGAGCAGGTACCAATGGCATCAGTGTCCAAGGCTTAGATGCCCAACAGTGGGTGTCCAATTATGGGTGCTTGAAGGATAATTGCCCAAGGGATGCTGTCTAAGGGATGGGTTCCCAAGGGATGGGTACCCAGAGCATGGGCTGGATGCTGAGACATGAGACCCGCAGCCCATCACCCCTATTCCCCCAACACCACAGTGCTCCCCTTGCTCCAATATTAGAGCTGCCATCAGCTCCAGCCAATCCCGAGGGGACCCTCCGGCTCACCCCATCCCCACGATCACCTCCTCCCTTCACCAGGCAGGCAGGCGGCATGCCCCCCCCCCTCCACAGGCAGGCTGCCCCCCCCCCCCGCGCTGCGGTGCCGGCGGGCGGGAGGAGGGGACGCTGACATCACCGCCCGGCGCTGCTCGCCGGGGCCGGGCCGGCTCCGCTCCCTCTCCCCGCTCCCCGCTGCCGCCCTCCGGGGCCGGGGCAGCCTCAGAGCCCGGTAAGGCGGGGGAGGGGGGGGGGGGGGGGGAGCGGGGGGGTGGGGGGACGGGTGGATGGATGGATGGATGGACAGAGAGCTCAGCCCCCCCCTCCCCCCCCCCCCCCGTGGGCACTGGGGGGGGGGGGGGGGGGTGGTGGGGGGGGATTTCCCTGCTGTTATCTGCCCGAGGGATATTTATAAATAAATAAATAAATAAAAATTAGTCCATAAATATATAAACAAACAAATTAACTTCAATCCTAGAGGCAGAAGGGGTCCTTTCCCTGCCGTTATATGTCAGAGATATTTAAAAGCCATTAAGGAAAAAAAATAAAATAAAATTAACAACAACGACAACAACAAAAGAAATCACTAAAATCCTGTATTTTTGCACAACCCCGTGTGCTGTTCTGGGGCTGCAGGGCGGCTGCTCAGCCCGTGTGTCTATTTTAAAAGCACGTTGCTTGATCTCTTGCCCTACTTTCCGGACTTGCCGTACTTTCTCGGTGTGTGACAGCAGCAGTGCTGGCCCGGCTATGGTTTTGCCCAGTGCTGGGTGGGGGCACGGCGTGGGCTGGGGGCACCGATGAGCTGCATTTTGCCCCAGCAGAGCAGCCCAGCACCAGGAGGACGAAGGGTGGAAGGAGACCCGGCTGAGAAGGGGACAGCGCGTGGGTCTGCGGCGTTTGCTCACACCACAGTGATCCCTGAGCCAACCTCACTGAGCATCAGCGTGGAATTTTGGGACTGGAGGAGTCAGGGTACCCTCTCCAAGGCAACAATCTCTTCTTCCTCGCTGCCATTCCCTGCTGCATCCCCTCCATGGCCTCCTCAGAGGGGCTGCAGTACCGTGCGCTCTATGAATACCAGAAGGAGCGGGAGGAGGACCTGGCGCTGAGCCCTGGGGACGTGCTGACTGTCAGCAGGGCTGCACTACTCTCTGCCCCCAACTACAAGGATGGGGACGAGCGCAGCCCCAAGGGCTGGCTGCACGGCCTCAACGAGCGCACCAAGGAGCGCGGACACTTCCCCGGCACCTACGTGGAGTACTTGGGCCCCGTGTGCATCAGCACCACCAAGGCGAAGACACGGCCATTGCCCCCGCCGCCCGCCGGGACCCCTGTGCCCGCCGGCCAGCCCTGGGGTGAGTGTGGGGATGGGGGAATCCTAGGATGAATCGTAGAATGGCTTGGGTTAGAAGAGATCTCAAAGATTGTCTAGTTCCAACTCCTGCACACTATGATCCTCTTTTCCTGTGAGATGTGACAGAGGAGAAATCGCTGCTGTGCAGGGCTGGAGGAGCAGAATGGGCACTTGCTGGTGAGGAGTCCCCTCCAAAATATGGTTCCAGACAGCAGCAGTGGGACCGCTCAGTCCTTGGATTGGGCAGAACATGGGTCTGGGGCTGTGCCTGCTAGAAGGGCCCAGATGGACCCCAATAAGATGCTGGGAGCTGCTTTTCTGCTCTGGGAGCTGTCTGAAGCAGAGAGATGGGAGCAGGGATAGCATCTACTGCAGGTTTCCAGGCTCTGCTTTGCAGCTGTTCCCAGTTGTGTGGGATCCAGCCTGAGATCTGGGCACAGAGCATCCCCTGGCTGCCCCCATCCCTCCCCCTCACAGTGCTGCCGGTGACGACATCCCCTGATGCCAGCTGCCACCCTGCTGCCCATGGACTTTGCCATGCAGCTCCTACAGCTTCCTGCAAGCAGGGAGGCTGGGAGCTACCTCCGTCTTCCCTTGCCAAAATGTGGGTGACACAGTGTTTGCCCATGAATGCACCCAGTTCATGCCCTGAATGCACCAAGGCAGCCACAGTCCTGCTGCTCCTGCGGCACTGGTAAGAAGGAGCGAGCAGCTGTGTGCAGCCATCCTGGATGGGCAAATACTGTGTCCCCTGCCCAGCTAAGCCCAGAGGCACACCTGCAGCCTTCTTACCCGAGCTATTCAGAGGGCAGAGCCCCATCAAACTCAGTGCCGAAGGGCAGATATCTTGGGATCAACCCCGGTCACGGAGACCGTGTGTCCGTGGCCATCCATCACCAGCCTCTGGGTAATGAGAGCTGCCAGCCCACAGGGAAACAACAAGCAGGGGCTTGGCTGCACGCCAGGGAATCCAAAACAGCAGCTTCTACCCCAAAAAATCATTGCCTCACATGTGAAGCCCAGGTGGGGGTCTCCCACTGACCCCCCAGGCCCCAGCATGTCCTCAACCTCCCCACAGACCCTCTCCCACACTGCATGTATCAAGGCTTGGGCAAGTGGAAAATCAAATAAAAGGAACAAAATAGGTAAAACCAAGACGATTTTGACCCGCTACCAGCAAGGTTTGGGGCAGGGGTGCTGCCACCTATGGGCATGCTCTGTCCCTGTCCCCTCCGCCAGTGCCACTGCATGGGGATGTGAGCACTGTCACCTGGCACAGGGACACTGCGACAGGAGACATCTCTCTGCCAGATGATGAGTGGTTTTGAACTAAAAGTTGATTGGAATTAAAATCCTCTAGCTGATGGGATTTTCCCTATAATGAAAACTTCCAAACTTTGGAGGTGTTTTTTGGAAAAGAACAGCATCTGCTGAGCTGCAGGGCCAGCTGGGGCCCCTGGGACCCCAAACAGGGTGACTTGGGTTTTCTCCAGCCAGAGGAAGGGCTCAGCCCACAAGGAAAGAAATGCATTTCCAAGACATGCCCCAGAGTCAGGGCTGGAACCACAGGAAGGAATGGTCTTTTAAAAATTAAATAACTTCCTAAAAATGGCTTTGGTATGGAGCCA